CTTTTCAAGGGTTTTCCAAGTAAAAATCTTGGTGTCTCATAAATGCTAGACCCTCTCTCTTATCTGATTGCGTGCCAGATTTTTGTACAATGCTAAGACAATAAACTTTATATTTCTCTACCGCCGTGAATACTCCTGGACGCAACAGTTTCGCGCCGTCTGTGGGAAAGTGATTCCCGACTAGGGGGCAAATTTTTGCTCCAACCTCATAAAGAAGTTCATGTCCACTTACTAACATCAGTGATTACTTCACCAATTTTATAGGAATTAGATCCGGACTGGGGGGTAACCTTGACTCCGACTATGGTCAAAAAGACTCTCCAATACTTCCAACATCAAGATGATATTTCAGAAAAATCCAAGCAAATGCAAGGATACTTTCTATCACTTATAAGTTTCATACAGTCCCCTACATGACTCATACTCCTTGGGCAAGGTCTTGATCTTGACCTCAAAAAGGTAGTAACGGTCTAAAGATAGACCCTTCATTATCTTTGATTCGGGATACACGCGGCATTCGCCCCCTCCCAATCAAGGTAAAATCGATCCCAGGGGGATCCGATTTGACCTCTTCCACACAGGTTAACGTCGTCGAGCAAAGGCTCCGACATACAACCTCGGAAAGGTCTCACATCCTTGGTGGATTCTCTCGACCTCTTCCACACAGGTTAACGTCGTTGAGCAAAGGCTCCGACGTTCAACCTCGGATAGGTCCTACATCCTTGGTGGATTCTCTCAACCTCTTCCATACAGGTTAACATCATCGAGCAAAGGCTCTGACATACAACCTCGAAAAGTTCTGACATCCTTGGTGGATTCTCTCAACCTCTTCCATACAGGTTAACGTCATCGAGCATAGGCTCGACATACAACCTCGGAAAGGTCTTACATCCTTGGTGGATTCTCTCAACCTTTTCCACACAGGTTAACGTCGTCAAGCATAGGCTCCGACATACAACCTTGGATAGGTCTTACATCCTTTGTGGATTCTCTCGATCTCTTCCACAAAGGTTAACGTTATCGGGCAAAGGCTATGGCGTACAACCTCAGATATATTCTATATCATTGGTAGATCCAATATCGGTTAACATCTTTGAGCAAAGGCTTTGACAAACAACCTCGGATAGATTATCATCCTTGGTTAACGTCAACAGAATGCCGTCAATGGACTTCCATTGGACTTCTACACAAAGTTAAATTTCTACATGATGTTGAATTTCCTCCTGTCGCTAAACTTTTGCATTGCAGGACTTTCGTCGGACTTCTTCCCATCGACGGACTTTCGTCGGTCTTCTACCCGAGGTAGTACTTCTACTCATCATCGGACTTCTGTTCGTCGATGGACTTTCGTCGGTCTTCTACCCGACTCAGCGCTTCTATCCGAAGCCGGACTTCTTCCTTCCGTCGAACTAATACCCGTCATCGGACTTCTATCCGTCGACGAACTTTCGTCGGTCTTCTACCCGACACAGAACTTCTACCCGACGTCAAACTTCTACATGTCTTCGGACTTCTGCTCGTCAGCAGACTTCTACTCATCATCGGAATTTTGCTCGTCGACGAACTTTCGTCTATCTTCCAACCGACACACCCGACGTCAGACTTCTACATGTCATCGGACTTCTGCTCGTCGACAAACTTTCGTCGGTCTTCCACCCAACGTTGTACTTCTACCCGACATCGGACTTCTCCTTGTCGTCGGACTTATGCTCATCATCGGACTTCTACTAGTCGTAGGACTTCTGCTCGTCGATGAATTTTCGTCAGTCTTCTACCCGACGTTGTACTTCTACCCGACGTCAGACTTCTCCCTATCATCGGACTTCTGCTCGTCAGCGAACTTCTACTCATCGTAAGACTTCTGCTCGTCGACAAGCTTTCGTTGGTCTTCTACCCGACGTTGTACTTCTACCCGAAGTCAGATTTCTCCATGTCGTCGGACTTCTGCACGTCAGCGGACTTCTATTTGTCGTCGGACTTCTGCTCGTCGAAAAACTTTCATCGGTCTTTTACCCGACAGTACTTCTACCCGACATCGGACTTCTCCCCGTCGTCGGACTTCTGCTCGTCAGTGGACTTCTGCTCGTCGTCGGACTTCTGCTCGTCGACGAACTTTCATCGGTCTTCTACCCAACAGTACTTCAACCCGACGTCGTACTTCTGCGTGCCGTCAGACTACTACCCGTCATCGGACTTATGCCCATCGACAGACTTTCGTCGGTCTTCTACCCGACGCTGCACCTTTACCCTACGTCGAACTTCTGCATGCCGTCGGACTACTACCTATCGACGGATTACTGATCGTCGAGGGACTTTCGTCAGTCTTCTACCCGACTCAGTGCTTCTACCCGATGTCGGACTTCTCCCTGTTGTCAGACTTCTGCTTGTCAGCGGACTTATGCTCGTCAGCAGACTTCTACTCGTTAGCGGACTTCTACCCGTCATCGAACTCCTGCATATCGACGGACATTCATCGGGCTTTTACATGCCGTTTAATTTCTACTCGTCGTCGTACTTCTCCAACCTTCGTCGGACTTCTGTTCGCTGTCAGCCTCCCAACCGAGGTCGGATTTCTGCACTTCAACAGTCTTTTCAACCTCCCTCCTTACAACGGTCTCTCCGACCTCCATCTCCAACCAACTAACATCAGAACTCTGCAAGACCTCTCGAAGAATAAAGGGAGAAGGGGGGAATCTCCGGACTTCCTTGCAAAGAGAGGGGCCTTGGAAGACCAAGGAAACACCTCAATTATAAGGACAGAGGGAGAAGAGGGAGAAGAAAGAATCTACGGACTTCCTTGCAGAGAGAGGGGCCTTGGAAGACCAAGTAAACACCTCAATTGTAAGGACAGAGGGAGAAGAAGAGAAGAAAAGAGGAGAAGAAGAGAAGGGGCAATTTTTCTAAAGGCCTTGGAGGCCTATTTATAGGTTTCTGGAGAAAAGAGGGGAAGTTTCTAGAGTTCTCCAGCATTTTTGAATTTCTCACATTTTTCTAAATTTTTTTGAAATTTTAATTTTTCTGAATTTTTTAGAAATTTTTCGTAATTTTTTGGATTTTTTTGGGATTTTTTCGGATTTTTTAATCCATGTAGGTCCCACAAAAAAAAAAAAAATAAATAAAAAATAAGGAACCGCCTCAGCCAAACCGCGCGCCCAGGAGGGGCGCGCCTGTTCGCGCGGCAGCTCGCCGGCGCCGGCGGCGGCGGGCGGCGGCCGGTCGGCCGGCCGGCCGGTTCGGCCGCCTACTCGTGTCCGGGCCCGATTTTCTGCCCGGACGGTCCAAACCCGACGTTTTTGGGGTCCTCGAACACGTTTTTCGACGTTCCGGACTCAATTTTGACACTTTCGGAGCTCAACGGGGCATCTACAATCAAGTTTGTGCAAGCACTTAATTTTTGGAACGCAATTTTTGATGTTTCGGGCAATGCAAATTGTCGATACATATATTTTCGGACTCCTGGAGTTTCGATGTCCGAAAATAAAGGGGCAACTGATACGTTATCATGAAATTATCTTGATCGGGCACGAATCTCGAGGCAAAACCCAACCCGAAAACTTCAAAAATTAAATTCATGAGCTCGTGAACTCCGATTTCAGCGAGCTTATAGTCAAACTGAGATTCTCGGAAATGCGAATCCAACGACACTAAATTCGATCCAGTCTGAGCCCAAATGGGTCCGAATCATGGACCCGAAGCGCTGTTGGAAGGTTCAAACCACAATTTGAGTTACCAAACGGTCTCTGATTTTAACGAGCTTATACTCGAATCGAACGGCTCGACGAGAAAAACCCAACGAGCCTAAGATCACCAAATTCCGACATCACTAAGGCCCTCAAATATCCAACGAATGGTGCACGATCGTAGGATTCAGTATCGACCGTCCATTCGACCACTCCCTATTCGCCCTTGATCTCACGACTATTTACAGGCCATGCCACTCCAGAAAATCTATAAATAGAGCCCTCATTCTCATGAGGGGGGATCCAAGCAAGAAGTGAAGGAAGAGAAGGAAGAAGCTCCTCCTCGACCACCACCGGAACCTCGCCGGAGCCTCGCCGGACCACCGCCGGAGTTTCGCCACACTACCATCTCAAAGCCCGACGTTCAGGCCCGACGTGCTACAGAAGGCCTGACATTCAGGCCCAACGTTCTGCTCAAGGCCCGACTTTATGGCCTGACGTCTTCATCTGAGGCCCTATCCTTTGCTAGAGGCCCTCACTTTTACCAGCGAACTTCACCCTCGCCAAAGGCCCTCACCAACGCCTGAGGCCTTCACCTTCACCTGAGGCCCTCACCTTCGCCAGAGGCCCTCACCTTCGCCAAAGGCCCTCTCCTTCGCTAGACTACCACCTGACGCCGTTGCTTTGTCGGAACACCACCTAAGGCCTGGACTTCTGCTGGGCCACTACTTGACATCCAGAGTTCTACCAAAGTACCGCCCTACTACAACGGTCCTTCTGACCTCTGTCGCCTACTACGGTCCATCCGACCTCCATCAACAGACAACGGTCTTTCTGACCCCGGTCTCCTGCCGACTACGGTTTTTCCGACCAGACAAACATGTATATGTAATTCCTACTATGTAATGCAATCTGTATGATGTACATTTACTACATCAATCCAAGGCCTTCTCCCAAGGAAGAGCCTCATTTGTAACGACTACAAATTCAAGTGGATTCATTCAAACTGGGCCAGGCCCCGTGGTTTTTCCCCTTTTTCAGGGGTTTTTCACGTAAAAACTCTGGTGTCTCTTATGAAAGTTTCACCCCCTCTCTTATCTGCTTGTGTGCTGGATCTTCGTACAATGCTAAGACGTTAAAGCATATATTTCTCTACCACCGCGAATATTTCAGGACGCAACAAATATAACTCTTTACACTTATAATCTTATTATTTTGTTAATGAAGTTGGCTCTGCCACTAATTTCAAAAAAAAAAAAAAAACACTGTTCAACATAATCAACTACCCATATCAAGCCCAGCCCGGCCCGCCACTTATCATGCATTTGGTCGGGATGTTCCTTCTCTTGCAGTTCTTCTCCGCTCTAAACACTCACAAATTAATCCCTAGTGCGCCTAAGTCGCTGCTTTCTTCCATGCACATGGAGGAAGAAGAGCGGCTTCTTCATAATTCTTTTCCAATGGCTCCACTCAAATCCTGCTCCTAGCCACGAGAATGCTCTTTCTTGCCCGCCGCGTATCTGCTTCCGGTATCAGCTCCTCCCTCAATCCTATCCGCCGCCTATTCTCCCAAACTGATTTGGCCGAAGACCATCGAATCTATGCTGCCCTAGCAACCTCCGGTCATTGGGATGACCCTTGCCTTTTGTCTATATTCTCATCCCCCCTCGCCCCTGTTAAAGTCTCGAGAGTCCTTATCGAGCTCAAGGAAGACCCCCATTCGGCATTTAGATTTTTCATTTGGGCTCCAAGGCGACGGGGATTCCTCCACACCGCTGAATCCTTCTGCATCACTGCCCATATACTCTTTAGCGGGAGAATGTACTTAGAAGCTCAGCAGGTTCTTCAAGAGTTTGTTAGTTCGACGAGGGTGTTACCCGAGTCCGTGAGCTTTGTTGATGTGCTTCAGGTAACTGGAAGGAACTTTGGCAATACGGGGTGCGTTTTTAACCCCGGGCTCTTTGATACCCTTTTTGGCGTGTTAACTAATATGGGATTTTTGGAGGAGGCCTACGAGTGCTTTTATAGGATGTGGAACATCCGAATTTTTCCCAAGTTGAGATCTTGTAACAATTTGCTTGAGAGGCTTACGAAATTAGGCAAGGGAGAATTGTCAAAGAAGTTTTTTGAGGATTTGTTCTCTGCAAATTTCATGCCGAGTGTGTTTACTTATAACATTATGATTGATTTCTTGTGTAAGGAAGGAGATGTGAGGGGTGCGAAAGAGCTGTTGGGCAAGATGAAAGAGAAGGGCTGTTTTCCTGATGTGGTGACTTTTAATTCATTGATTGATGGACATGGAAAATGTGGGGAACTTGAAGAGGCTGTATCTCTCCTAGAAGAGATGAAGGTTAATGGTTGCAATCCTGACCTGATCACTTACAATGCACTCATTAATTGTTTTTGCAAGTTTGGGAAGCTACGTGGTGCTTTTTCTTACCTCAATGAGATGAGGAGGAATGATCTGAAGCCCAATGTGGTAACTTACAGCACTTTCATTGATGCATTCTGTAAGGAACATATGATGCAGGAGGCATCCAAGTTTTTTGTGGACATGAAAATGAGAGGTCTTAGACCAAATGAGTTTACGTATACATGTCTTATAGATGGGAATTGCAAAGCCGGAAACCTTCAGGAAGCACTGATTTTACGTAATGAAATGTTGCAGGATGGTGTAAAGTTAAATGTAGTTACTTATACTGCTTTAGTGGATGGGTTATGCAAAGATGGGAAGCTCAAGGAGGCTGAAGAAGTTTTCCAAGCAATGGTGAAGTCTGGAGTGTCTATGAACCAATTACCCTACACAGCTCTTATCCATGCTCATTTCAATAATAAGAACATGCAGAGAGCAGTGAATCTGATGGAAGAAATGAGAGAAAAAGGTCACAAACCTGATTTATCAGTATATGGCACTGCCATCTGGGGCCTCTGCAATGAAGGGAAGCTCAATGATGCTGAAGCACTTGTTCATGAGATGGATAACTGTGGCTTGAAACCCAATCATGTGATCTATACGACTCTCATGGATGCTAATTTTAAGGCTGGGAATACCTCAGAGGCTCTTAGTCTGCTTCACAAGATGCAAGAGTTGGGCATTGCCCCAACTATTGTCACATATGGCGCCTTAGTAGATGGTTTGTGCAAGCAAGAATTAGTGCATGAAGCTTTCTATCACTTTAAAAAAATGAGAGAGATGGGTTTGCAGCCTAATGTATTGACTTACACATCCCTTATTGATGGGTTTTGTAAGAGTGAATGCTTAGAAGAAGCAACTAAGCTCTTTGAGGAAATGGTTTTGATTGGACTGGTTCCAGATAAAATTGCATACACGTCTCTGATGCATGGTTATTTGAAGCGAGGGAACCTACAGGAAGCGTTTGTCTTAAGAGACAAAATGATAGAAAGTGGGTTTGAGCTTGATTTGCATGCGTATACTTCTTTGGTTTGGGGCTTATGTAATTGCCAAAAAATGCAAGAGGCAAGGAACTTGCTTTCAGATATGATTGCTTGCGGAGTTAACCCTGATGAGAATGTTTACAATTGTTTGATAAGGAAGTATAAGCAGTTGGGTGATGTGGCTGAGGTGTTGGAGCTACAAGATGACATGAGAAGGATGGGTGTAATTCCTAGAGCTAGTGATGAGGCTGCACCAGCTGATCAAACGTAGCAAAATTAAAATTTGATTGAATGTGGATGGCCAACTTGCTGATGTGCCGAATGTGAAGTTGGATAAATGATCTAATTTTGGAGCAGTTATCTTTTTGTAGTATTTCGATTCGGTGCAACACCAATTAGCCGAAATATTAACAGTTATGATAAAATGGAAAGTATAATTAATAGGGACATCAAATATTGATATGATGGCTCTGTTTGGTGAAATGGTTAAGTAATGGTGGAATCAGACGGCTTCAAGGTATTTGTAGCGCTGGCAGCGATGTTAGCGTTTTGATGGCAACTCACAAATTGGCTTCCTGGATTGCAACTGCTGTGCTGAATGAGGTAAACCTATTTTTTCTGGCAGCTGATGAAATTTATTGTCATGTCTGAAGATGTTATCTGTTTGTAACAGGAAGCTTGAAGTTTGTTTCGCCTAAAGAATACGAGTGATAGAAGAAATAACTCTGGTACCTTCCTACAGCTATTGCTAAATTAAGTATTCATAAATTTAAACAATGTCGCTAGGAATTATTCTGTTAACCATATTACTTTACTCAAGATGTGATCTTATTTTTTATGTGATAATAGCTAAAGTACTTGTTTTCTCTCGTTAGAGGCAGACAATTTACAGTTTCTTAACTCTCATTTTATTTTCTGTTAATGGATATCTTTGTTTTGTTTCTTACTTTCTTTATTTTATTCAAATGCTACTTTTCCTGGTCTAGCTGTTCATTGACCTCAGATTATGAAGCATGTACTGGATATGTGGTTGCAGAGATACATACATGGATATGGCAGTATGTTAAGTTTTAAAAAGTAGGTTATATATGTAGCTGATGTGAAATATTCGTGTAAAGAAACATATATTTCACTATCAATGAATACATAGTTTATTTGCAGGTATGATAATTTTCCTACATATGCACTCATCCATCAACACTATTGCACAGTGCAAGCATATTAGAAAAAAAGACAGTGATTTATGTTACAGCACATGAAATCGTGCAGCTTCCAAGATCACAATTAGAGTAAATTAAAATTTTTTATCTATAACATGTTTATCATATTCTTGTTATGTTCTTTTGCTAAAATTTTCTGCATGGCACTTATTTTATTATTTTTTAGTCAGTTATTTGACATATTAGACAGAATCTTTAATATAGCTTTTTGAAAGTTTGAATTGGATATATCTGTATATGAGATACCAGAATATCCAAAATTATTGCTTAAAGAATCCACTTGGGAGTATTCAAGCTTTCCATCTCAAGAAATTTTCAGCATTCTTACCTGTCATTGTGTTTTAATTTAGTTTGTAAGGTTGGACCTTTTTAGATGTCCCTCAGGGTATTAGTTTGTAAGAAATATGAACAGTTAATACAAGGCTCTCACTTATTTGTATGTAAACCACCCATTTATTTGGAAACATCGTTATATGGCAATGCCCATCTCATAGGCAGACATGGCCTTACCCATCTCATCTGAACTGAAATTAACCAACAGCATCCAAAATATTGGCTTACTTAGGTGACATCTAAAGATTATGAAAACCGTATTAATTATTTAAGATAATTAGCGAATTAACACGATTGCTCTGTTACTGAAGAATCCAACAACTTAATGGTCTATGCACAAGTTTTGTTTGAATACTAGCTTGTTTGAAACTTTACCTGTAATCAGTTTAGTGTGTTTACCATGCCTAGTACTAATTAAAGGCTTAACTTTGTATTTTCTATTGATTCTTGAACCTAGGCATTTCTTTAGCCCCAGTTGTAGTTAAATATGTGAAAGATATGCTTCCCAGTTGGTCATACTTTTCAAGATCACATGGTATAATTAAACAGTCTTAAAATTTTCTGTCTTAACATATACCAGCTTTTAACAAAGGTTATAAATGCTGTTCCTAAGATTAATTTTCACAATGACAATATGATTAGAAGTGGAATAAATAAGGGGAAATGACCATTATTCCATCCTCCTCAACCTTAGGTACTTGTAACATCCTTTTCCTTGGAATGCTTTTCTTTTCTTTTTTTCATCTTCACCATATCCCTCATTTTCTTTTACTCCTACCCTAAGCCTTCACAATCACAATCTTGAGTCCTTTTTACCAAGCTCAGTGTGAGTTTTCTTAGTTGGTGGAGTGCATTTGTGCCTTTTCTATCTATTTGCATCTAGGCTCATCCTATTTATCATTTGATTCTAGCAATGGAATGAATTTCTCCAGCAAGTAGGGTTCAAGTGCTATTTTCCATATACCATCTAAACAGATGGTGAGGAATCAAATTCATTTGAAGGAAATGAAAATGGAGTGGATATAACTTGGCAATTTGAAAATTGATTTGATTTGTAATTGATATTTAGGCTAGATTAATTCTCAACCCAAAATCAATCTAGCTGATTCAGTTTTCTTATTGGGCTAGGCTAAATTAAGTTATTAAAGCATGCGTGTATGTATATGATCAACACAAAACGTTATCTCAAATCTCTAATTTCTTCTGCTGACAAACGCTCTTTACTTGTGCTTCTCCCCTCTTCTAATAGCTATTATTGTTTATGCAACTATTAATCTCTGTCGTTACCAAGCTCTCTTCTATTAAAGTTGAACCTTGTCATTTCCCCCTTCTCACCCTTTATTTTGTCCCCCCTCCTTTCCCTTTCTCTTACACAAGCTCTCTTCTACATCTCTTTCCCTCCCTTCTTTTTCTTCTTTTCTTGATCTACCTCACCTCATTTATAGCCCGTGCAATATATTTATTAGATGCAATATTTATTGGTGGATTTTATTCTCATCTCGTACACCTTTTTATTTTTTGCTGTCTTTCTTCCAGTTATCTTTTCATATATTATCCCACTTGAACATTTTCACTTCTAGCACCAAGCAATGAAACCATAAAAGCACACAAAAGTATTCACTATAGAATGACTTCAACATTGATTATCTTAATCGAAGATCTTTCCCCTTATCCCAGCCACATTATATAATCCTCATTTATCGCATCAATAATGCTCTTAAATAAACTTCATTATCACCAAGTGGTGTTACTACCTACAATCATTCACTACACTTTATCCTCAACCTATATGTCGATGATAATGTTATCATCTCTTCTTTTTTTTTTCCTCTCATAAATTTGTTAATTTGTGTTACTTTGACCCAAAAATAACTTAACTTCATCAAAAACAACTTGAACCTAACATGCTTATTATGAACGTCATAAGCTTTAACCTGATGTAAACTAAAGAAACTTGAGCCCAACTTTATAGGAGCAGTCAAGTTAGTATCAATGCAAAAAAATAGATGTGTTAACACAATATAAAATGGACATATACAAATGAGAAGTAGCAAATAAGAAACCATGACTTTCTATAAGATAGGTTTTTATTATAAGGATGTATATATCCTTTATGGCATGGATTAAATTTGAGCTATGTTGCACCGATACGGATACGACGACACAGATACGACACGATACGGATACGGGACACGCCAATTCTTAAAAATATAGGATACGGGTACGGCGCGGACACGACATTATAATTTATAAATCATACATAAAAATTAAGAAACCAATCAAAGCATAATATTTGAAATTACAATATTTTAAATTACTAAAAAAAAAAAAAACATCATTTGTAGCCTTGTAGCTTATAATATCAAAATATAAGTAAGCATTAAATGTCTTGTACAACAACAAAAGCATAAACATAAATTATCTAGCACATGAATTTTCAACTATTCAATAGAAGGAATGATATAATTATCTTCTTCATTGGTTTGTCTTTGAACTTCTATATCATATTCATTAAATATCATAGCTTCTAATCCAGGCTCATCAAGTGAACACTTAAAAAAAAAAGGCTCATCAAGTGAAAGATTAGTAATTTTTAATATTTTCATATCATCAAGAGACTCAAATCCGTCTCGAAAATGAGAGAATCTTGCTTGCAATCGCGGAAGTAAATACGACATGTCTTTTTTTTTTCTTTTTGTTTTTCAACGGGCACGCGTATCGGATACGCGTGTCCATTTGAAATTAAATAGTATTTTAATTGGATACGGCTTTGGCGTATTCGACACGTATCGGTGGAGTATCGGAGCCGTATCCGTGTATCGGTGTATCGGATACAACACGCCTTCATAAATAGGTGTATCGGTGCAACATAGAATTTGAGTTATTAAATTAACACAAGTTCAACTTGAATCTGACCTTTTTTTTAATCTCTTAAGTGTTATCATAAGCTCAACTAAAATCCTAAATAGGTTGACTAAAATCTGAAGGTTCGTGTTTGGCTTGAGTCAGGTTAGCATGGCAGGTGAATCTTGACACCATTCTTTTGTATGCTATTTAGAGATGTTATTGAAATTCACATCCTGATCAACCATTAAAAAGGCGTTCGAGGTGGATGCCTCGAGGCGCGCCTCAAATCGAGGCGGAGGTTGGCGAACTGAGGCTTTAACCTCGAACCCCTGGGCTAGGCTTACGTCTTTTTCCACGGAAGCGTACGCCTCAAGTCATGAGGCACCGAGGCGCATCGATGCAGCGCCCCGATTCATTTCGGCTTTTTTATTCTCCTCACGCATGTGCATTCACTTATTAGACTCAGGGCTTTTGTTTTGAAGCACTTCCGCCATTCCATTCTCTCTCGCTCTCTCGTACTTCCGCCGACTTCGACAGCCAAGCCAAGTTGTTATTATTTTGTTTGGGTTTTACTTTCTTGTTGCTTTTTTATTGTTTAAAAAAAAATTTGTTGTGAAAAGTTGTTTTTTACAACCAAGTTGTTATTGTGTGGTAGCCTTAAGAAAGCAGTGTTCAATTTTTTGGAAAATAACAGATTAAAATATCCACAACTTTAAAAAAAGTTACCTTCACGGAATAGCTTCACAATCACCTTCACAAAACACTGCAATCATTTCAAATAGACATTAAATCTAACTAATTAAAAATTAAATAAAATCCAAATTTAAATGACCCAACCCACCACTTCTTCCTTGGTATTCAACTCCTGTTGGTGTCAACAAGAGCTCGGTGGTATTGGTGGAGACTCATTAACATCAGTATGGAGTTACTAGCACTAGCACTAGGTCGTTGGTGCCTGCAATCTACCACACTAATGCTTGCAAGCTTGAGGGCGTAGGTGTAACATTGCATAAGCGCCCTTAAGATGAATAATTTTGAGTTTTGACATTCGTTTGGTTTGATCTTATGTTTGAATTTGTGGAGTTGCTTTGCCAAGTGCTCACTTCCATCAATGCGGGTTTGCACTGGCACTTGTGATCTACACCAGTGCAAGAGGTCACAAGTGTTGGGGGCTTCATTCAGGTGTCAGCTCGCTGGCTTTGGCACCAGATTGCCATTGCGGGTTCCAATTTTCAAAATTTTTTAATTTTAAAACTAACTTCAAAATCATTACTTTTAGGGATTCACAGTTGTTGAATTAAATAATAATTAAATTGTCATAAACCCATGCATATATGCTTCCGTTTTAACAAAAATCATGATAAATATTTGGGTTGTCTAAAAAGGGATGCTTGGTTTTTTATGTCTTTGTTCACATAAACTAAGAAAACTTGAGCTTGCTTTTACGAAGTTTAAAATAGTGAATTCCTAATTATTTATTTTAGGAAAAAAACTTACTAGGATGATATGCCTTCCGTCTAGCTTATGGAATCCCATTTCTTTTTGTTAATATTCATTTCTCTTTCAATGAATTCCCTTAAGTGAGCTGAACATTAGTCAATTTCATGAACCTTTTCTGTGGGAGTATCTGTTTATGATCTTTATATCGCCTTATGCTACATTACTCTTCAGGCCCTCTCTTTTCTTTTAGGCCACAGTGTGAGAAAACTGTTCGTTTTTAATATCTATGAAATATAAAGTCTAATGTAATCTGGTTGTATTGTAAATTAAGCTGGAAATTTGTGGTCTTCTGCTCAGTATTTGACAATATGTACAAGCTAACTGTGTTGTTTCTTTTCAATGATGTGCTTAGTAAGCGGAAGACTCATCTTGTGCAACTGTTGCTAAACAACAGCACTTTGATCCAAGGATGCAAAGCTTGATATTAAATCTCTCATCACAGAAGTTTCAAATTCTATGGCTTCTGCTCGGATGCTGGCAACTTGATCCAATTTAAAAAGATGATCAACAAACCTAAAGGAGGAAGACGGAAAAATTTGTTGGGACTCGCATAATTTCATTGATGCTGCTTCTTCGACCAACCATGAGATGCAAATAAAGCAAATTTTATATCTTCGATGAGATAAAATTTTACTATAGTTCTGTTAAACGCAGAAGAGATAATCCTTATAGAGTTTTCACATGTATGAGATGCAAACATCAATCTTTTTTGTCATGGCTTTTGTACTCCAAGGTTTTTGCTTCTCCATTTTTATTCTAAGGATTTGAGTATTGTATTCTTTGTTTTCCTATTCTTTTTGTTTGTAACACTTGATTATGGGGAACAAAGACTGATCCAATGAACTGTCTGTCTCAAATTCTGAAAGAATTGTACACAATGAAAAGGGAGATCTATCAGGCTGTGAGTCAGATTATGTTTTCTTTTTACTATCTGTATTACGTATTTGATAGTATTGAGTAACACGTTTGTTTGATTCAATTGAGAAATTGTGTATCTAATTAAGGTTTTATTTGGGATAGTTTTCTTTTTATGTTTTACAATAGTTTTCTAGCATAAAAATTTCTTTTAAAAAAAAGTGATAAAAAGCTATTCCAAATGAAATCTAAGTTAGGCTAATTCTCGAAATGCTCTGCTATTTGATTTTCTTATCTAAATTTGAAAGCAACAAAAGTTTACTTATACGTTTGCGTTGGAATATATTGTTTGTTCATTAACATCTGAACGGAAAACAATTAACTCTAAATGATTACATTTTCTCATATCATGTTCTTATAAGTTTGATGATTTTTTGTCTATTTTAAATGTTGCACTTAAACAACCACACGATTAGTTTGTATTAATGTGAGTTGGGTGCATTTTACATCCACTTGATTAAGGGTGTAGAGCTCAAGTCATCTTTACTTTGAACTTGTGTTTGATTAGTTAATCAAGATCGAACTTAATTCTATGAGTATGAGTTGACATATGAGCTGACTTATTTATTTTGAAAGAGAAAATATGATTTTGATTCAAGTATTATAATTTAATGGTTAAATGAATGAGAAATTTAAAGAAAAATAACACTTGGTATAATGAAATAAGAAATAATTTTAATTTAAAATTCTAAATATTAATATAATTTTAAACATATTTTATATTAATATTTTAAAACAAGTGGCATCAATATTGGCTTTAGTTTGGCTCATTAGCTCATTGAAACAAGCTGACAATCCATTTATCGAGCCAAACTTCAGCCAGATCATGAGTCGGCTTGACTCACTTATGTCATTGCACTTGATTACCATCAACTAGATCCACATAAGATAAGACTGATCTAATTGTGGTCAAGCTACTTGATCATCCAAAATGACCTTATATAGTAAAAAAATTAAAAATAATTTGATAACATCATACCAATACGCTTCCAAGCTAAAGTAAATTCAAGCCACATTTTAGTTGTTTTTTTTTGTTGAGACACTTAGGCCAATTAAGGCAAACGCACGCACACATCGTATACACAAGACTAGAACTCAAGACCTCTTAGTTGGCAGCCTAAGCTCCCAACCAATAAGCCAAGGTGAGCTGCGACATTTCATTGCTTTAACATCCAACCATAATAAGATAACCGTCATCCTTTTTCTAGCTTTAAGATTCATCGTAATCTATCCATACACCAACATTAGTTATCCTCATTATCCATGTTTCTTAAAGGCTAATATTCTTTTGTTCATTTTGAGTGGGAGTGTATTTATTATAATGATTATATATGGTAATATTTCTAATTTTGATGGCTTATTTAAAGTTTGAGGCTAATTTTGACAATTGTTGCAACTAGTTCTGGAATTCAATGTTGATGATTGATTGATGGTTAAAATATTACATATATGATTGTTGAGCATGTTCCAAAATTTCTATTATAAGTAATGTGATAGGTCTATTATTACATGATACAAGTGAAGACATCAACAAAAGAAGTCATAATGATAGGGACCATTTTAGTAGTTATCCTAGAAGATTCAGAACTTGCATTAATGGAACCACTAATGGGAAAGTGAGCCATTATTCTTCTAATGGTTATCGATTTCACCACAAAACAAACTATATTGGAATAATTTATCGTTAGATTGGAACAATTTGTGATTGAGATCAAAGTCAAAATACTATAAGCTTTTAGTACCATCATTGGGAAAATGAGTGAAGAAAAGCTTTCTAAGGATAAAGAGACAGACTTCGAGCAAAATGAGGTGCTTCCTTAAAACATTGAGCCACTAACATAAGATACTTAGATTATTGTGATGGTATATTGATAAAAATGGTTTATCTTCATCAAAATACTTGGTGGGTCTCCCTTAACTTCAGAGTGTAACGTTCCAAAGGTTAGGAATAACATTTTCCTAACCTTGATGTAGACAAAGGAGTTTTAAGGAACAATGATGAGGAAATCTACAGAGACTAAAGACTTAAAGTCCTTCCTTTAATGAGGAAACTAAAATGGGGTTGGAGGAATTCAATATATTTTTTGTTTAAAAAAATATTTCTTATAAGCTTCATCAAAAAAGTTACCAAGCATTAACTCACGAGAGTTCTTCAAAACTTAAATCTAAATTTTCATTTATTTAAAATTCTCTCATAATGAAATGTAAGATTCAAATATGATTAATTTACTTTAAATTTGGGGCTCAATAATTCTCAAAAAGCAAGCTCTTATAGTTAATTATCTTCCAATCATATTTGAAAAAACTCTAATTAAAGAGTTATACTTGTGTTCTAACTTTGTTTAATATGAGTTTGGATTGGTCAAATTAAAAATAATATTAAGGATGAGTGAGTGATATAGAACTAAGATTCAAATTCTCATGCTATTATTTAACGATAACTCGCAATTTACTATCCTTTTATAATGAAGAAATATATTTGTTCTTGTTATATGTTGAAATGTAAAACTCCATGTCAGCTAGGCTATTAAACTGTGAGCAACCATGGAACATCACCTAAAGATCTATTTTGCAAGTAATTCAACATATAAAGCCATTTGCATGAAAGTTTATGTCAATATCATGATGATTTTGGGCACTTAATGGATATGAAGAGTCAATTGAAAAAAATTAAAGAGTATTAGAAGAAATTAAGGATCATTTGTAGAGTAATGGTACAAAAGTTGAATAGTCAAAGCAACGAATTCATGTAATGGGTTCCTTTAAATGATCCTTTGACTAGTCAAAGCATAGAAATATTAAATTGTTTAAATTTACTATATTGAGAGTATCACTTACAAATTAATATTTCTATCTAAATACTAAATATTAATGATGTGCCAAGTATCTTATGATGGGACTCACTAATATTTAAATTTAATTTATTATTTAATACGAAGTCTTATCTGAAGGTATTATTTTTTTAATTATTTATTCAACTATTACATTTTATTTATACTATAATAACTGGATCGAACCGAACTGGCCTAGGATTTCTCCAATATACACAAGCCAGTTGCTCGCTCCTCTTCACGCACACAAATGGACTGAACGGACTTCCCAACTGCGGTTCCTTCTCTCCAATCACAAAATCACACATTTTTTCTAGTGTTTTGAAATCCTCTCGCCCCTGCCAACCTCCCTCTCTCCAATTAAACCCAATAAGCAACATAGGGCATCATTTTTACTTCTATTTTTTCCCTCACAGTAGCCATTGAGCCTCCTTCTTCATTTCTTCCTCATTATAGCAGCTCTCAGCAGATGCTTCTCAAACTCTTCTCCTTGTGCAGTGAGTTTTCCTTCTCTTTCCCTCTTTCCTTCCCTTTTTCTCCTTCTTATGTTTCCAATAATCTATGTAAGAGTTCTTTGAACTTCTATTGTAAGGCTAAATTTAATTTTTATTACATTTTGCATCATGTTAAGCTTTTCTTAGGAGTTTTGTATTTCCTTAGAGAGAAAGTTTTATCTAAGCTTGATATTCTCTTAAGCAAGCCCTAGGTTATATTTTAGATTGAATTATTTCTTAATTAATTTTGGTGTTCATAGCATTTTAAACATTGATTAGGATAGTCTTCTTTATGCCTCGATGAACGTGCTTAATGTTATTTTAGTTTTACTACTTAGAATTATCGTTTGGTGGAGTCAAGTGTGCTGCTTTCAAGGTTGGAGTTTATGGAAACCAATGTAAGTAATTGTTACTTATTTTGGTATAAACATACCCTTTTTCGTTAGGGGCACAATCCGTGATATTTGTATTAGAATTCTTTTATAATTATTTAGGTTGCTAGTTTTATTTCCAATTATTGTTAGTATTGTGCATGTGAGGGATATTATTTATGGCTTACATTGAAATCATCATGTATTATACAAAATATTATCTTGATTTATTGATACACGAGCTTTAGCATTTAAATGGTTCATGATGTAGAAAAAGTTTATTCAATACTCATTAGCTTTATTTACTGCGTACATAATACTTTTGTTGTAAATCATTTTGGTTATATAAAAAATAATTTATGATGTTGATTTATATAATACATTGATTTTTTTTGTAAAAATACTCGCACTATATGATTGTGTTTATATTGGCAGAGTCTTATTAGTTTTTGGCTAGCCAAAGTCGACAGGCACTCAGAGTGATGACTCTACAGGAAATCACTAAATTTCGTTGGGTTGGTATTTACATTCCCGGTGATGGATATATGATAATTAAAACTATAATAACTATATATGCAAGAAAAATATAAGTGGATATGAAATGGAAACAACATTTAACTTACAGGTTATTTTGAGGTACAAGGATACCTAGTGTAGTCTATTTATAAACATTATAATAATTATTAGCTAATTAACATATATAAATGCATAATAGAAGATGATGTAGAAAACATTGTATACTCATGACAGTTTTTGATATAGTAATTATAGATTACTACTCCCCTCTTTTGATTGTTCATACCGTATGCACCATTCCTTTATTTTTTATGCTTTGACAGATAGGAGTTCATTAGATTGATATATCAAACCAACCCGTTGTTATTTTTAGCAGGTCCTCCAAGTGTGTTTGGTGGGCCGCCACCTCAGGAGTAGGATTACGAGCAATAAACTATTTTTGTATTTATTATTTTGTAGTAATTTTTTATGTTTATATTTTCTGAGGGTTACGTAGTTTCTTTTACTTTTTCTTCTATTTATATTACAGTTGGCTTGTATCAGAATTACTATTATTTGGATGTATTAGTTATTTGAACTTCTATTAATAAGTTGGCTCTTTGTTTCACTTCCTCTGTTTACTCTGATGTATGTATATATATATATATATATATATATATATATACATCCTGTCATATCTATTGTATATGTATACTTCTTATATTGAATGCAAAACAGGTCTTTCTATCCCTTCATCATGTCTAATGTTGGTGGGGTGTACCACCTTCTGGACCCGGGGTGTACATCTAAGATATCATTCC